GATCCAGGGCTCCCAGCACCCACACGTGGTCCTGCCCAATGTACATTTATCTTCTGCAAACCCTGTTTTCAATTTTATTTACTCAACACGGTAATGTTTGTTCACTATTCTTACCAAATAAGTCTGAAAAACCCAAGTTGTTGGTCAGAATAACCTGTGGGTTTTTTTGAATCTTTGGGGATCTTCCTCAAGGAATAAGCTGTGATATTAAGATATTATTATTATTATTATTATTATTATTATTATTATTATTATTATTATTATTAATTGAATTTTGATCTTCTGTTCAAGTAGATTTCATCCTTTACACTGAGACACTTCCAAACACCAAGCGAGAAGCGAGGCTGGGATCAGACACAGCCACGTGCATGGGGAAGGGGGGGGTTGAAATTGGGGAATTAACATCTGAATTGCTGTGGAGAAATAATTAATTAATTAATGTGGGTTCAGCTTTACTGGCATCACTTTCTAGTGAGGTCCTTTTGTCCTCAAGGTAAACTTTATCCCACAGCACAGGCCACTGCAAGTGCTCGTATCATCCAGGGATAAAATGTATAGAATGTGTAGAATTTGTGGAAGTTCTCAGTGGGTTCCAAGCTTTCCAGTCCCTCTGAAGCTGTCGGGATGTTGATGCTGTCTTCTCTTCCCAGACATGGCTCCCTGCAGATCCTGAGTGTCTTCCAAAGCCGCCGGCTCGTCCCAGCTGGGCTGCCCATCGCTCCGCTGGGAACCTGCCCCCCGAGGCAGCGGCAAAGGCCCTGGCCCAGAGCTCCCAGTGGAATGCCGGGATACGACCGGCACCTGTCCGAGCTCCGGGACCAAAGCCACGTGGGAGAGGGACTGAAGATGTCACCAGGATGGAGAGCAGAGCTCCATGTCAGTAAGATGCCCTGTCCCATGGGGAGGCTGTTCTAGAGCCTGGCAATGTCCAGATCGTGGAATCACGGAATGGTTTGGGTGGGAAGGGACCTTAAAGACCATCTTGTTCCAGCCCCTGCCATGGACACCTCCCACTAGCCCAGGTTGCTCCAACCTGGCCTTGGACACTTCCAGAGATCCAAGGGCAGCCACAGCTTCTCTGGGCAACCTGTGCCAGGGCCTCCCCACCCTCCCAGCCAGGAATTCCTTCCCAATCTCCCATCTCTCCCTGCCCTCTGGCAGTGGGAGGCCATTCCCTGTGTCCTGTCCCTCCAGCCCTTGTCCCAAGTCCCTCTCCAGCTCTCCTGGAACCCCTTTAGGCACTGGAAGGGGCTCCAAGGGCTCCCTGGATCCCTCTCTTCTCCAGGTGAACCCCCCCAGCTCTCCCAGCCTGGCTCCAGAGCAGAGGGGCTCCAGCCCTCGGAGCATCTCCGGGGCCTCCTCTGGACTCGCTCCAGCAGCTCCACATCCCTCTGCTGTTGTTCCCAGAGCTGGAAGAAGCTCTGCAGGGGGGTCTCACCTGAGGGGGCAGAGGGGCTGAATCCCCCCTCCCCTGGTGTGGGATGAGCCCAGGACATGGAGGGGTTCTGGGCTGGAGCTTGTTGAACTTTTCATCCACCATCACCCCCAGGTCCTTGTCCTCAGGAATCCCCTCCATCCCTTCATCCCCCAGCCCATGTCTGTGCTTGGGATGAAGCAATCCCACTGTCCTTGTCACCAGCAGAGCTGTTACATTTAGAGCCCAGAGGGAAGGAGGTGACACTGGCCGGGTGTTTCTGTGGGGGAAGGACAGGGATGGTGGGAATGCAGACAGGGATTTGCTGCATTGGAAGAGAATTTATGGCCAGAGATGTCACATCCAGCACTTCCCAAACCCACCTGCCCCAGCTGTCATCTTGGAATGAACACTGGCACGGGCCCAACACGGGTTTAACTCACCGACACTGCCTGGCAGAGCAAGAGATGTGGCCGTGGGCTCCATCCAAAGTCCAGGGACTCTGCCAGGTCCTGGAGAGAATCCAGGAGGAGCTGGTGTGGTTGGGTTGGAACCAGAGCCCTCAGCAAATTCCAGCACAGAGCAGTGAACTCCAGGCAGAGAACAGCTGAGGAAGCAGCTGATTCGGGAATGCCTCCCAAAAATAAGGAGGTGGAATGACACCATCCCAAAGAATCTTGTGTTGTTTCAATCTGGGCTTGGCTTGGGAAGCTCTCCCTGTCTCCCGAAGGTCCTCAGTGTCTGCAGCACCCTGGGAAAGTCTTTTGGGTACCTTTGAGGAGCACCAACGCTTGTGCAGGTTTTGGTGAAAGTCCTCTTGGTTCACAAGTGGGTTTTAAGGGCTTCGTTATGGCTTTAATCCATAAGGATTAAAATCTGTGACCCCTGAGGGTTTTTGGTTGTGCAAGAGGGATGAAGAACCTGGAGGGAACAACGGAAAATAGGATTCTGATGGGACCCTGTTAGGATTTTCAGAGAGATCACAGAGGTGGAGTGAGCAGAGCTCCTACAAGGCAACAATTGCCCAGTAATTATTGGTGATCCCATTTAGAAGGGAGATGATGGAGCACGTGGAAAGCTCCGGCATCCCTCTGGATCTCCCTGGAATCCTGCATTTTTAGCAGGTCCATAGGCTGATCTCCATGAGGAGGAAGTGAGTGATCACAAATCCTCCTGTGGGAGATGAAAGGATCTAAACACAGCTGAAGGGGAAAGCACTGGAATGAGAAAGATTGGATTGGATATAGGATTGGATATTGGGAACAATTCCTTCATGGAAAGGGTTGTCCAGACCTGGCACAGCTGCCCGGGGCAGTGGTGGATTCCCATCCCTGGAGGGATTTAAAATCCCTGTGGATGTGGCACTTGGGGACATGGGTTAGCGATGGCCTTGGAAGTGCTCAGGGAACAGTTAAACTCGATCTTGGAGCGGTTTTCCAACCTAAATGATTCCATGATTCCATGAATGAGGCCTAAGGAAAACACACAAAGACTTCTCCATGTGGGAAGCGGGACATCCTGGCCATAAAAGCATCAGGATCAGGCCAGAGGGTCACAGTCCCTCCCAGTGCTAAAGCCATACAAGATTCCTACAAAATAGGACCCTCATCCTGGAATTCCATCGCCTGGACAGAGCTGTGGGAATGTTGTGAGCTGGATTAGGGCCAGGTCATCCAGAGTTAAGTGCAGGCTCTGGGCCTTGGATGTGGTGTTGGCTGTTCCAGTCAGTCCAGGGAATTCTGCTGGTCCGGCAGCAGGGTTGGGGCGGCTTCCCAGGAATGCATCGCTCGGCTCCAGAGGGAACGGGAATGGGAAGAAGGTGTTTGAGTGTCTCAGCTGCTGGGAACCAAACTGCAAGTGCTGCTGGCAGAGAGGATGTGGGAGCACAGGGAATTCCTGCAGGGATGTGGCCACCCAGTGACTGTTACTGGTGCCAGAAAGGTGGAGGGAGCTGGTGCCTGCCGGGATGTGCCGTGTCCGACCTCGGCTGCAGCTGAATTCCCTCTGCATGGCAGGGAATTCCGTGCATCAGGAAAGGGTTAGTGGGGAAGCAAACTACTTACAAACACCACTGTGGTAAAAAAATCCCGAGGAAACGATCCCTGAGGGATTGCATTTGGATGAGGGGCAATTTGCAAGGCAAAACTACGTAATATTTTTTTTTTAATATCAGAGAGAGACAAATCCCATCTTAACTCCTTCGGTGACCTCTCCAGGACCTTTGTGAACTCTGCCAGGCTTTTCCCGAGGTAAACTTTACCTGGGCTTTGCCAGGGAATGTCTGCAGATTGCCAGGAAGTGGCAGGAAAAGTCAAGATGTTTTGATTGATGCTGATTTTCTCTATAATGAGATGACGGAGGGAAATAATCCAGATTTGTGAAGGTATTTGAGGTATTAAATGCCACCAAAATCCCAAGGATTGGCTGAGCACCTAAACAGGTTTAGAATGTGAATTCTCTGCCTGAGTTAATCTGATCCTGACGTTATTTCTCCTCCCTCCAGCATCTCCAGCGTTCGAGGCTCAGCCCTGGCACATTCCTGCATCCAGCCAAGGATCCGACTCGGAATGAGGGAGGATCCAGAGCGTCCTTCACCCAAGCTGGACAGAAACTTCTCTGCCTGGCAGTGGGAAAACAAAATGTTGCTGCTGGTCGTTGGGATCTCGACCTGGTTTCCCGTTGCTGGTGCCTTATCCTCTTTTCCTTCTGGATGTGTCACCTCTGAAGTGTTCCCTTGGAATTTTGACTGTGAAGACACTTGCTTGGGTCCTTTCTAGGGCTGCTGGGCCTCCTGTGAGCTTTTCTACGGATCATTTGGACAAATCTTAGGGCACATCCCACAGCCTGAGCCGCTCTGTGATGCTTTCCAGGGAATCACAGGAGTTGATTCTGGCTCTGTGGGCACCGAGGGGATTCTGGAAGATGAGGGATGACTTCCAGCCACTGGAATTATGGAAATTCCACCCTCCCTACAATTTGAGTGCTTTGCCACCAGTACTAACACGATCCTTCAGCTGTGACCTCCAGCTCCTGCCAAATCAGCTGGAAAGCACCAGGCTGGGCAAGGGAAGAGCGTGGAAGAAAGGAGAATCAAGGAAAATGCTCCAAGAAAAACCCAGTTAGGGTCGGGCTGGAAACAGAATTTCTCCCTTGTGTTGAACAAGGCAAATCCATCTTTTCAATCGTGTCAGTGAGAAGGAAATCAAATCCCACACTCTGGATGGCAGCACACGGATCCGTGTGGGGAGCTGGCACTTGTTATTTAGGAGGATGTAAATCACAGGCTGTTACTGGGGTTCTTTTCTGGGATTAAGGAATTTCCCAGTAAATTCAACAAATAGCAGTTTTTAAGGATAAGGGGATTGAATGCTCAGCAACTGTAACTCATTGCCTGGTCATATCCCAGAGTGAGAGAGTTGGGATAAAACTGAACCTTTCCAGGTGCTGGGAAGAGTCACAGCACGCCCAGGAATCCTCAACATTTCACATTCCAGAGGGAATGCCAAAATCCCAGAATCATTAAGGCTGGAAAAGACCTTCAAGATCATCAAGTCCAACCATCAACCAGCACCCCCTCAATGTTCACCCTGAAACCATGTCCCCAGGTGCCACATCCATGTGTTTTTGAAGACTTCCAGGGATGGGGACTGTTCCAGTGCTTTACAACCCTTCCCATGAAGAAACTGTTCCCAAAATTGCTCCAAATCATTGATGAGGCAACTCAGTGAGTCTCCCTCTTCCAGACTTCGGTGTTTCCTTTTCCCAGTTGTCCTGGATGCTTGGAAGGACGAGTTCATCTCAAAAAACACGACGGCCTAAGAACTAGTAAGCCTGAGCTGTCACCTCTCAAAGGATCAGCTGAACTAGGAACTTGCAGACGGGAATTATCTCACGGATTTTAGGATCTGTTGATTATCTGTTGACTAATGAATTTTGTTTTGGAAGGGCCAATTGTTGAGCAATTGAAGTGAGATGGGGCAAATCCCATCCAAAACATTCATCAGCATCATTCCCAAATCTCTCCTCACAAGCCTTTTTTTTTTTATTTCCCAGGAAACCAAGGTAGAGGGATTGCTCCATGGGTGCTTCCTTGGCTTCTTAAGGAGCTGTTCCAGCTCTTTTTCTGGTCTCCATGAGGCAGCAGTTGATCCACAAACAGCAAAAACCTGCTCAAGGAAAGGATGTAACCCTGCAGCAATGCTTTTCCTTTCTCATCAGTGACCACATTCCCTGGAATCATCCAGCTCCCAGGGTCCTGGAGGTGAATCCTGGACATCAGCGTGCCTTCGCTGCAGCAGATCATGTGTCTTAAGTGCTCACTGTACATTTTCAACCTCAAACCTTCCCTGATTTATAAAGTTTTTTGTAGTTCCGATGCCGTAAAATAACAAACCGGGGCGTGCCAAGCCAAGGAGATTATCCCTGGAATAACGGCGGAGCTACACAACGGCCTGGTGGGATCCTATTTATCAGAATTAAATCATATACCCTTGAAACATATCGTGTGGAATGTACTGTGTGCAAAGCAAACACACCTTACGTCATTCCTGAGGTCACAACGTGGGGCAGAATCCGAAATGGAGAGAAATAAAATCCAGAGGGAGAGTCTCCATCACCTGGGAGCTGCTGGAAGCCGCATCCCCCCGGGCTGCTGATCTGCAGGGGCGGGTGGTTGCTCCCTCAACTTTGTAGCGTTTCCAGATCTGCGGGGAAGGAATTGCCAAACCAGAACAGAGGGAGGCGGTTGTGCCCTCGCCCTTCCTCGTAGATGCACATTTCCCAGCCCTGCCCGGCGTTCCCAGATCCTGCCCCGTGGATCTCATGAGCCACAGCCTTTGACTGGAGAGCTGAAGGTGCCTTTTGAAGCCCAGAGGCCACTGAATCGGCTGAATTCCAGCGGCACGAGCAGGATCGGGATGGGAGCCGCCGGCTACAGCCCTGCTCAGGTGTGGGGAGCAAACCCCCCCAATCCAACACCCTCCTGCTGGAGCTTTGCTCCCCATCCCTGCCCAAAACTCCACCTGCAGTGCCCTGGTGTTCCCGGCCCGGAGCGACGGCACGTTTGGAGTTCGGCTTTGGAGCCAAAATGAAGTTTTCCTAATTATTGCTCTTGTGGGTTAAAGAGACAGAAAGCTGGGAAAGGGAATGTGTGTAACTCGAGCTGATGGGAGCTGCAGGTCGGGTTGAAGTGAGGATTTTTGGGAATGTCCAGCCTTTGTGGGAAGGTGGGAGATGAGCTGCGGCCGGGGAAGTGGGGACATTTGGAGAGGGAAGTCTCAGCAGTGGCTGAGGGATAATGGATGAAAGGATGGCTGTGGAAGAGCAGGGAGACCTTGTGGCAAAGGGAAAGCAGCCAGGGAGAGGAGTCAAATCAAGATTAAAAGTTGCTTTAATCAGTGGGTGGAGCTGGTAAGGAGCAGAGAGCAAAGCTCGGCTCAGTAAGGAAGGGCTGAGATGAGGAGGCAGCCACAGGGTGTGAGGGATTGTTTTTAGGGAGGCAGAGGGATGTGGGAATTGGTTTGGAGTCTGTCACCTTGTCCCTGCTGACGTGTTTAGATCCATCAACTTATTGTAAAATGAAAATAAATTTGAAAATAAAAATAAAATAAAAATGCAATGGAAATAAGAAATAAAATGAAAAGTAAAATGTAAAATAAAAAAGTAAAAATTAATTACTAAATAAAATTAAAACAAATAATTTTTAGTGAAATAAAAATAAATAAAAAAATAAACAATAAAACATAAAATAAAAAATTACTAAATAAAATTAAAATAAAAAAAATAAAAAATAAAAATAAAAATAAAAATAAAAATAAAAATAAAAATAAAAATGAAATAAAAATAAATTTAAAATTAAAAACGATATAAAAATAAATAAAAAATAAGTTACTAAATAAAATAAAAATTAAATTAAAATAAATAAATAAATAGAAAAATAAAAATAAATTACTAAATAAAATAAAAATTACTAAATAAAATAAAAATTAAAAAATAAAATAAAAAATAAAACTTAAAATAAAAATAAATTAAATTAAACGTAAAAATAAAACAAAAATAAATTAAAAAATAAAAATAAAAAAGTAATAAAAAATAAAATAAAAATAAATTACCAAGTAAAATAAAAATTAAAATAAAAAAATAAATAAAAACAAAAATAAATTACTAAATAAAATAAAAATTAAAAAATAAAAAAATTAAATAAAAATAAAATAAAAAATAAAACTTAAAATAAAAATAAATTAAATTAAATTAAATGTAAAAATAAAAATAAAACAAAAAATAAATTAAAAAATAAAAATTAAAAAGTAATAAAAAATAAAATAAAAATAAATTGCCAAGTAAAATAAAAATAAAAATAAAAAAATAAATAAAAACAAAAATAAATTACTAAATAAAATAAAAATTAAAAAGTAAAACAAAAAATTAAATAAAAATAAAATAAAAAATAAAACTTTAAATAAAAATAAATTAAATTAAATGTAAAATAAAAATAAAACAAAAAATAAATTAAAAAATAAAAATAAAAAAGTAATAAAAAATAAAATAAAAATAAATTACCAAATAAAATAAAAATTAAAATAAAAAAATAAATAAAAACAAAAATAAATTACTAAATAAAATAAAAATTAAAAAATAAAACAAAGAATTAAATAAAAATAAAATAAAAAATAAAACTTTAAATAAAAATAAATTAAATTAAAAATAAAACAAAAATTAAATAAAAATAAAATAAAAAACTTTAAATAAAAATAAATTAAATTAAAAATAAAAACAAAAAATAAATTAAAAATAAAAATAAAATAATAACAATAAAGTAAATTATTGTGCACCTCACACAGGTATCCTGCCTTTCCCATGCTCCATGCCATCCCCAAAAACATCCTGCAGCTGAGTTCCATGTGGAATGTGCTCCATCAGACAACTCAGGGGCAGGAATTGCTGTAATTCCGACGGCCAGACACACAGACAACCCCCGAGTGCACCTGGAATGTCCCCTGAGGCACAGCAGCTGCTGGAATAGGTCTGGGAAGGTGATGGCAGCAGATGCAGGGCTGGGGAGATGCTTTGGAACAGCCCATATCCCAACACAACCCCTTTCCAAACCACGGCATAAACTGCTGGTTGGCACGGGACGCTCGGGAGACCCCCGGGGAGGCCAAACCACAGGCACAGGCAGGTGCAGGCACTGCAGGGCACTCCCAGCACATCCTGGAGGAAGGAAACTCAGTTCAAGCTCTCCAAAAAAGCCCTGGAGGCAGGAGGTTGCAGTGGGAGCAGACGGTTTAAATCCTATTTTCAACCTGTTCCATGCCAGGATCTGGTGGGATGGTGCCAAAGCCACCCAGGGAGGGGAGGAAGGCGAGATGATCATGGACACAGGACCGTGTGCCCTTTTCCCTTTCCCTTTCCCCTCCCTGAAACCCCTGCTGGCCCTTCAGTCCCCAGGCACACACCAGTCCTGACTGTGATCCCAAAAATCCTCATGTCAGCCCACAGACCCAGAGGTTTCCAGGGAAAGCTTTTTACCAGCCCACAAATCCCAAGACCAGCTCCCGTGGCCATTTCCAGCATCTCCCTTCAGTTTTATCTATCATTTGGTGTTTTTTTTTAATTTTGGAGGCCTGTTTTTCCTCGCTGCCTGTTCTCTCCCCCTCTGCAGCCCTGTTGTTTCATCTCCCAGGTTCCTCATCCACCAAAATCCAGAGACTGACCAGGACACCACCAGTGAGGAGATTTGGGAGCTGGTGGCACCAGCAAGGCTCTGGCTCACAGCAAAAACCAAACAAAAGCAGGTAGTTCCCCACATGGGATGTAATTCAGCTTTGGAATTCCCTGCCTCCGGAAGCTGTAGATGTTAAAGCTGATGTGGGCTCTAGAAGCCACTGGAGATTCATGGGAGAATTCCAAGCTCATTTTATAAGAATTTGGAAGGGACCCCAGGAGGTCCCAGGTGGCTGAGGGGCTTCAGATCCTCCAAAGGAGGAGATGACACAACTTCAGGCAACACACTCTGACACTTAGAGAATCATGGAATGTCCTGAGTTGGAAGGGACCCACAAGGATCACCCAGTCCAACCCCTGGGTCTGCACAGGACACCCCAACAATCCCACTCTTGCCCTGTTGTCCAAATGCTCCTTGAGCTCTGGCAGCCTTGGGGCCGTGCCCACTGCCCTGAGGAGCCTGTTCAGTGCCCGACCACCCTCTGGGGGAAGAACCTTTTCCTGAGATCCCCTCGGCTGGTCTGGTGATGAAAAGGTCCCTCCTTACACCCAGTTTGAACCTTTCTCCTTGAAACTCTCACCTGTTCCCTCCCACCCTCCCAGCACTGTGCAAACGCAACATCCCTCAGACCCCCCGAAGCCCTTCCCTCTCCTCATCCTCTTCCCTCAAACACCCTCATCCCCTGCCCTGCTCCCTCCCAGCACCCCCCCTCTCCGCTCTCCCTGCGTTCCGCAGGAGCCCGCACATCTCCAGGCGGGATTTTCAGCCTTTTGTCAGGAAAACGCCGCCTGTTTTCCCTCCTCATCTCGATGCTCTGCTACCACCTAGCGCTGACAGGGCGCGGGGCCCTCAGGCCGGTGTGGGGGTCCCTCAGGGGGATTCCCAGGATAATCGTGGGCTGTGCCAAGTGGGAAGAAGACTGATAACTTCTGTTATCAGTCAGCTGTTATCTGTTATCAGAAAGCTGGGGTTTGGTGGGGAAAATAGGGTGATCCCAGTAGTGGGAATCTGAAACAGATGGATTTTTACCTTCTCCTCTTTTAGTCATCAGCCAGAAGAGCAGCCACAGGGATGTGTCCAGTGCAGTGTCCAGCTGTGGGCGGCTCCTCAGGACGGGAGGGACATGGAGCTCCTGGAGCAGCTCCAGTGGAGGGAGACAAAGATGCTGAAGGGATGGAGCATTTCAGTGACCAGGAAGAGGCACTTGAGAAGAGACACTGAGAGGGGACCCTGTAGGGTCTGCAGGGAGGGGGGCAGAGGATGGAGCAGGCTCTGCTTGGGGGGCCCAGCAATGGCACAAGAGGAATGGGCAGGAACTGATGGCCAGGAAGTTCCACCTGAACACGAGGAAGAACTTCTTTGCTGTGCAGTGACCGAGCACCGAGCAGAGACCAGAAAGGGTGTGGAGTCTCCTCACTGGGGATATTCCAGACCTGTCTGGACACAATCCTGTGCCGTGTGCTCTGGAAAGGCCCTGTTTGAGCAAAGAGTGGGGACCAGATGACCCACTGTGGTCCCTTCCAACCTGAACCATTGTGTCATTCTGTGATACTGAGATTCTGTGGTTCTCTCATTCCGTGATTTCCTAACTCTGTGAGTCCATGATCTTTGGATTCTGCGACTGTGATTCCATGAGTATGTGAGTCTGTGATTCTGTAAGTCTGTGAGTCCGTAAGTCTGTGATTCCGTGACTTCGTGATTCTGGGAATCGGTGACACCCTGACTGTGATTCTGCCATTCTCTGATGTTGCAATTCCACGATTCTGTAATTTTGTGATTGTGACTTTGTGACCCTGCGTTTCTGTGACTCTGTGTTTCTGTGAGTCTGGGATTCTGTAATTCTGGGATTCTGTAATTCTGAGATTCTGTGACTGTGATTCTGTGACTCTGATGCTACGATTCTGTGAGTCTGTGAGTCTGCGATTCCATGACTCTGTGATTCCATGAGTCTGTCATTCTGTCATGTTGTGATTCCATGGTTCTGTCATTTTGTGACTGTAATTTTGTGACTCTGTGATTCTGTGACTGATTTCTTGACTCTGTGACTCTGAGATTCGTGAGTCTGTGAGTCTGTGATTCTGTGAGTCTATGAGTCTGTAATTGTGGTATCCCGAGATTCTATAATTCCATGACTCTCAGATTCTGTAAATCTGTGATGCTGTTATTTTGTGAGTCTGTGATTCTGAGAGTCCATGACTCTGTGATTTTGTGTGTCTGTCATTCCATGATTGTGTGATTCTGCAATTCCATGACTCTGTGATTCCATGACTCTGTCATTCTGAGGGTATGTGCTTCTGTGATTTTTTTATTCTGTGATTTTGTTATTCTGTGACTGTGATTCCAGGATTCTATGACTGGTTCTCTGGTTCTGTGATTCTGAGCCTATGATTCTGTAATTCTGTGACTCTGTGATTCCCTGATTCCGTGACTTGACCGCCGGTGCTGCAGCCCCGACAAACACCATCAAACCCCGATCATTTCACCGGGGGGACACTGAACACGGGGCACAGCGATGAGGGGCGGCCAGGGGGCACCCCGGGGACCCCCAACCACCCCCGTGTCCCCACCTGGACCGGTGGCCCCTCATGGGCCCTCCAATTCCCCTCATGCCCCCCCCCCCGCTCTTCATGGCCCCCCATTCCCCTCATGGCCCCCTCATTTCCCCATCACGGCCCCCCCATTCCCCCTCACTGCCCTCCATTCCCCTCACGGCTCCCCATTCTCCTCACGCCCCCCATTCCCCTCACAGCCCCTAATTCCCCTCATGGTCCTCCATTCTCCTCATGGCCCCCCATTTCCCCCACACCCCCCATTCCCCTCACGCCCCCCACCCTCCTCACGGCCCCCCCCTTTAAAGGTTCACCCCCATTCCCCTCAGGGCCCCCCCCATTCCCCTCAGGACCCCCCCCCTTCCCCTCACGGACCCCCATTCCCCTCACGTCCCCCCCACTGCCACCCCCCCCCCGATCCCCTCACAGATCCCCTCCATTCCCCTCACAGCCCCCTCATTTCCCTCTCACGGCCCCCCATTCCCCTCAGGGCCTCCCCCCATTCCCCTCACGGACCCCCATTCCCCTCACGCCCCCCCCATCCCCCTCACTGCCACCCCCCCCGATCCCCTCACGGGTCCCCCTCATTCCCCTCACGGGCCCCTCATTTCCCCCTCACGGCCCCCCATTCCCCTCAGGGCCCCCCCCATTCCCCTCATGCCCCTTCCCCCTTTAAAGGTTCACCCCCATTCCCCTCAGGACCCCCCCCATTCCCCTCACGGACCCCCATTCCCCTCACGCCCCCCCCATCCCCCTCACTGCCACCCCCCCGATCCCCTCACGGGTCCCCCTCATTCCCCTCACGGGCCCCCCCTGATCCCCTCACGGCCCCTATTCCCCTCACGGCCTCTCTTATTCCCCTGACGGCCCCCCGTCCCCCCCACGCCCCCCATTCCCCTCACGGCCCCCCCCCCCTCGATCCCCTCACGGGTCCCCCCCATTCCCTTCACGCCCCCCATTCCCTTCACGCCCCCCCCAATCCCCTCACGGCTCCTTCCCATTCCCCTCCCGCCCCCCATTCTCCTCACGCTCCCCCCGTCTCCCTCACGCCCCCCATTCCCCTCATGCCCCCCATTCCCTTCACGGCCCCCTCCATTCCCCTCACGCCCCCTATTCCCCTCACGGCCCCCCGTCCCCCTCATGCCCCCCATTCCCTTCACGGCCCCCTCCATTCCCCTCACGCCCCCTATTCCCCTCACGGCCCCCCGTCCCCCTCATGCCCCCCATTCCCCTCACGGCCCCCCCCCCCGGCGGTCAATGCCGGGACTGCAACACTCCCGCCCCTTCACGGCGCTTTCGCGACAGCGCGCGCGGTGTCGCTTTACGGCCGCGGCGCCGGGAGAGGCCGCGGGACCCGCCGGGATGAAACAGAAACGGAAAAGTGGGAAAGGTACGGGAGGGGCTGGAGCGGGGCTGCACAGGGGAATGGAGCACCCGGGGGAGCTGGAGGGGGGCCTCAGCCTGGAGAAAAGGAGGCTCGGGGGGGACCTTCTGGCCCTCCGCAACTCCCTGACAGGAGAGGGGAGCCAGAGGGGGATCGGGCTCTGCTCCCAGGGAACAAGGGACAGGAGGAGAGGGAACGGCCTCCAGCTCTGCCAGGAGATGTTTGTGTTGGATACTGGAAGTAATTCTTTCATGGAAAGGGCTGTCCAGCTCTGGCACAGCTGCCCAGGGCAGTGGAGGAGTCCCCATCCCTGGAGGGGTTTAAAATCCCTGTGGCTGTGGCACTCAGGGACATGAGTGGCCTTGGCAGTGTTGGGGAATGGTTGGAGTTGATGATCTTAAAGATCTTTCCCAGCCCTAACGATTCCACTGTTCCCTCTGTGTATGCAGTGGGAACACGAGGAGAGCCCTGCTCTGCCCCTCCGTGTTGTTTTGGGAGGGGGGAGTGAAGGGCCAGCCCCGAGGGTTGGGTGGTTGTGCCCCTGCCAGGGGCTCCTCTGACGGGTCTGGTGTGTCTGTTCTGCTGTCCCAGCACGGGCTGGTTCGGGCAGAGCTGCACCAGGGGAAATAAATGCACCTTGTTGGTCATAGGAAGTGTTCCTGTCGTGCTCTCTGTGAGGGTGGGGAGGCCTGAGAGCCCCTTCCAGGGCCTGAAGGGGCTCCAGGAGAGCTGGAGAGGGACTTGGGACAAGACCTGGAGGGACAGGACACAGGGAATGGCTTCCCACTGGCAGAGGGCAGGGAGAGATGGGAGATTATGAAGGAATTGTTGGCTGTGAGGGTAGTGAAGGGCTGGGCTGGAATTCCCAGTGAAGCTGTGGCTGCTCCATCCCTGGAAATGTCCAAGACCAGGTTGGATTCCCTTGGATCAACCTGGGCTAGTGGGAGATGTCCCTGCCCATGGCAGGGAGTGGAACAAAACGGTTTTTAAGGTCCCTTCCCACCCAAACCAGTCTGGGATCCTGTGATTCCATGGAGCTGGGATGGCTCCAACCTGGGGTTCTCAGCAGACTGTCCCTGTGGGATGTGGCTCCAAGGGGTCAAAGGAAAACACTGAGCTCTAGGGAGACCTTGGAGCCCCTTCCAGAGCCTAAAGGGGCTCCAGGAGAGCTGGAGAGGGACTGGGGACAAGGGCTGGAGGGACAGGACACAGGGAATGTCAGAGGGCAGGGAGAGATGGGAGACTGGGAAGGAATTCCTGGCTGTGAGAGCGGGGAGGGGCTGGTCTGGAATTCCCAGCGAAGCTGTGGCTGCCCCTGGATCCCTGGAAGTTTCTAAGGCCTGGTTGGAGCAACCTGGGCTAGTGAAAGGTGTCCCTGCCCATGGAACTGGATGAGTTTTAAGGTCCTTTCCAACTCAAACCATCCTGTGATTCCATGATTCTCCAAACACCTTCTGTTCCCTGACACACGCACTGGGAACAGGCACGCACAGATTGTTCCACTAATTGTCTTTAACTTCCAGTGGCTTCGTTTCTGGGTTGTTCTGCAGTTGCTCTGAGATAAAAAGGTGCAGTTTGTCCTGCAAGTAAAAGACAGGCAGTGGGATGGGGTGGTGACTGTCGCTTGTTCTGGGAATGCTGCACATCAGGAGTGATGAGCAGTGACAGCAGTTCCTCTGCATCCCAGAAACCCCCCGTGTCCTGGGCTCATCCCACACCAGGGGAGGGGGGATTCTGCCCCTCTGCCCCCTCAGGTGAGGCCTCGCCTGCAGAGCTGCCTCCAGCTCTGGGGAACAACAGCAGAGGGATGTGGAGCTGCTGGAGTCAGTCCAGAGGAGGCCACGGAGATGCTCCAAGGGCTGGAGCCCCTCTGCTCTGGAGCCAGGCTGGGGGTGTCCACCTGGAGAAGAGAAGGATCCCAGGAGATCTTGGAGCCCCTTCCAGAGCCTAAAGAGGCTCCAGGAGAGCTGGAGAGGGACTGGGGACAAGGGCTGGAGGGACAGGACACAGGGAATGGCTTCCCACTGGCAGAGGGCAGGGAGAGATGGGAGATTGGGAAGGAATTCTTGGCTGTAAGAGTGGTGAGGGGCTGGGTTGGGATTCCCAGAGACTCTGTGGCTGCCCCTGGATCCCTGGGAGTGTCCAAGGCCAGGTTGGAGCAACCTGGGATAGTGGAAGGTGTCGGAAGTGGATGAGCTTCAATGCCCCCTCCCACCCAAACCATTCCACGACTCCGTGGAATGCCTTGCGGGGCGGCTGCCCCTGGTTGTCCCCAGCGTTCCCCAGCCCTGAGTGTCCCTGTTTGTCGCTCTGTTCCCATTCCAGGGGGGCTCAGCCAGGC